TTTTTCTAGGCCAGCCATTTTTTCCTCTACATCTGAGATTCTATTTTCTGAATGATCTAGTCTGCTTTTAATACTTTCCAGGGAGATTTTTACTTCTTGTATTATAGACTTCATCTCTAGCAGTTCCGTTTGAGTCTTTTGTAAAGTGTGTAATTCCACTTTTAGATCTTGCAGGAATTTCCTCATCTCTTGGAACTCGTCAATTTCTTTCTCCTTTCTCTTTAGCAGTTCATTATCTCTCTTCTCTTCCATCTCTGTTAGCTTAGACATTATGAATGATCTGAATTCCTTATCAGACATTTCCATGATTTTAGAGTTACTCTTTTCCCTAGGAGGAGAGGTATTTTCTTGTTTTCCCATATTTCTCGTGATCCGGCGGTGATTTCTTGTCATCTGATGAATGTTGTCTTTCTTTCAAATTCTTGAGGTTCAGCCTTAATGTTCAGGAGCAAGCAGACAGAGGTGATCCAGAATCTTTCTGCTGTTCTATTGTGCTTGCGCTAGCTCGTTTGTTGGAGGCTGAATTATTAGTAGAAAATCTTCATTCCCTTAAAAATCTAGTTCACAGTAGCCATGTGGAACCTTGTCCTGAAGGTCCGTGGCTTCTTCTCGCCTTTTCTTTTTTTTAAGAGAGATTTTTTGGTATAGGGAATGAGCAATCCCTTCTCTTCTTGGGATTTTGGGCATGCATGCACACACCTGTGATGTGAGTTTAGGCTGCGAGACTGGGACTCGAACTGCAGTGGACTACATGGGAGTGCAGTGATATAACCACCGGTCCATCTGCCGATGCCCACAAGTTTTCACCAACCACTCCGTCTCCTCAGGCCTCACGAGTGACCTCTCCAAGGCAGACGCCAAGGGCCACAAACCTCTTGCTCTCTGCTCTCCGCCTGCCTTTCAGACTGAGCCTCTAGTGTCCACCTGCCGCCAGCTCTACCTGTGTCCCAAAGGCCGACAATTCCCCGGGACTTCACTTCGGCCCTCTGAGGGCACAATCTTTTATTTAAAAAAAAATTATTTTAATATTTTATTTTTTTGTCCCACCAGCACCCCACCTCCGAGGGCACAATCTTTACTGTTGGCCACATGGGCCACCCGCCTAAGTACCTGATACTGAAAATGAAAATCACTTTCCTCCCAGAACCTGCTCGCCCACCCAGTCCAGCAGTCCCGTGACCAGAGGCTTCACTCAGTCACCTCCACGACCTGCCCCCTCAGTACCCCTGGGCTGACGGCCATTTCAGTCAGCTCCCTGTCTCTCATCCCCAAACAGCCCTCACCTCTGCCAGAGTGTAACCTCCCAAGGGTGTCCCTCCTCGGCCTCTAAGCTGTCGAGCGGCTCCCTCTGCCTCTGAGATAATATAAAGCCCAGACATTTAAGACCCACAACTGCAAGTCAAATCTGGATTTTCTTTTTTTAAAATACGTTTCTTTTACCTGCAGTCACCTGCTGGCCTTACTCCGCTGCCTGTGTGGCTCCCCTCTGGCTGAGGAACGTGCTCCCTTCAGGAGGACCTTAGGACGCGGCAGCTCGTGTGCGGTCACTCTGACATGAGCGCCGTGTGGACGATGGCCCGTCTCGGGAGGCTCGCCAGCTGGGTACGCTCAGGGACCAGAGACCCACACCTGAACGCCACAGCCGCCATTACTCGGCCTCTCAGCACATGCCAGGACACGGCACTCTTGTGGGCCAGCCACCGAGCCTCGCCCGGCCCCGGCAGGCCACGGCCACCCC